GAGATTCCATCACTTTATGATCCGCCACAACCGCCTTCAATATACCGCTAATGTCCACGTTCATGCCGCTGAAAACATTTGCGCAGTTTCAGGGTCAGTAAGTGCCCACGTGAGACCTCCCGTCTGCTGCTTTCTTCAATAATTGGCAGAGAGCTTTTTCCAGAAGAGGTCCCGCGGGGACGCAGATAATCTTTTTCCGATAGGAGGAATATTGCAATTCTGGAAGTGAACTGTGACCAGTTAGTCTCGCGGGGTTTTATTTCATGAGGGAATGGGTTCGGAAGAGGAAGTTTACTACAAGCAACAGGCCCCCCCCCCTTCCCCGCAAACTGATACTTTACCTTCATTGGTGAAATAAAAAGATGTGCGCCGCAGTAAAACGTGTCTGCTCCTTGTAAATACAGGAGTACGATTTGTGCTATCAGCAGAATGCATTCTCTTCAATGGCATTGTTGCTGATTAGGATTGAGCAAAATATCGATAACAATCTCGCCATTTTGGCAAAATTTCGCCATTTGCATAACCTGCATCAGAGTCAATAGTAAAATTGAAATGTTAGTGTATGTAAACCCTAACAATGGACTTATTTCCTCCCCTTGGATTTATTAAGTATACCAATGAAAATGTCCTCTTAAAGCTGTTTAATGAATGCAAAAAATGCCTGTTAATCCTGACAGAAATCCAGTGCTGTATTGTGTGTTGTGCTGAATTGCCGACCGGTGCTCCCCACCTCCATCTAGTGGCCAAAATGCAGTATTACAGCTCATAATTTCAACCTTCAAAGTGTTCTGGGGACCCCTTTTGTATTATTCTATATTTTGCACCAACCATGTGCACCTTTCCCTGTTTTTTTTTGTGCTAATTTCAAACTGATCTTATTTGCTGCCATTGTTGCTTTTATGTGGGATTTAGTGTAGGCACTGGAAGTCATCAGCTGTGTTGCAAAGGTGATATTTAGGTGTCTAGGGTGTTTCTCTTGTTCTACCTTTAAGGAGGAAAGGGTTAAAGGTTGCCTCCAGGTGAGGTGCTCTCTGTTTGCTCCCTGCTGTATATTTCCCTATCAGGGGCATTCCGATCCTTTGTGCCACCTGAGGCTGTGGGGGGTGGGGTGTGTCTTTGGTGGCATTGCTGGTCAGTTTGGGAGTGATGGTGGAGAGAGACGCCGCCACCCAGGTGAGCAGAAGTGACGTCGCCGCGTGGCTGGCATCCTGCCAGGGTCCTGGGAACCAGCTGGGCGGAGTGTCTCAGGTTGCTAAGAGTGAGGTGGGGAGATGTATTTGGTCCTGACATATCTCTCTGTCCAGCTCTTAGCAACCTGGAACGCTCAGCCTGCCTCATTATGGAGATGGCCCTGGTCCCCATAGTTGGGTACTTAAATAGCTTTTGACTTTGAGATCACACCTTGCAAGGTTGCTTTGATGCGACAGTGTGGCTTCAATGTGTTTGCTAGTGTATGCAACAAAGCCTTATGTAATAACTAATATATACACTGAGTGGCCAGTTTATTATGACAACCTGACGTTTGTAGGCTTCAATATATATAAAATTAGAAATAGAAAAGCATTTATGGCACATTATAAAACATGCTTATTAGAGTTTTTGTATTGAGCCGGTCACATTCACAGAGGGAGGTGTATATAGAAGTCACTGGTGTGGATAACAAAAGCTCACTCATCCGGGGAGTCGACACAGGCAAATCCCGAAGACCGTCTATTGTGGAAGCAACAACAAAAAGATTATACACTTAGAAGCTGCGAGTCCGCTAATGCATTTCACACCAGGAAGCTTTTAATTCCAAAGTGAGCCCTGCAGGACGCACTGGCAAGAAACTTCAACCAGCCAATCAAAGCAGTCAGTATACTGACAGTCAGTATACTTCATCCATAGAATGGTGGTCAGCCATTCCACTTCCCTCTGACTGCCATATATGACAGAACTCCTACCTTTCACAATTATTTATTTGCGGGTATTTATATAGCACTGACAATTTCATGCAGCACTTTACACAGTGCACATTCACACCAGTCCCTGCCCTCAAGGAGCATACAATCTAAGTTCCCTATCATACATACAAGGGCCAATTTAGACAGAAGCCAATTAACCTACCAGCATGTCTTTGGAGTGTGGGAGTAAACCCATGCAAGCTCAAGGAGAACTTGCAAACACCTTGCTGATAGTGGCATGGACAGGTTTCAAACCAGGGACCCCCAGTACTGCAAGCAGAAGCACTAACCACTACACCACTGTGCTGCCCATAATGAAAGCTGAACTTTAATAAGCAGCTTTCATTATGGGCAGCACTCCCTCCCCTCCCCTCATCAACAATCAGTGATGTCATTGCTGTGTCTCTGTGCTTCTCTTTGCAATGCAGGCATATCATGATGGCCAGTGGAAGGAGATGTACTCAGTGTATCCTATCTGATCATAGCTTATCTGGAAGACGTGGCGTAATGATAGCCATAGCAGCTCAGGTGGATGCTATGGGACCTGGGGGTGGAAGGGGGCCCCATTAGGTTGTTTAGACAAATGAAATATAGAAAATGTAAAGATAATATAGTACTTTATCAATAAGGGTTGGATTGGCTGCAGTTGATGACAACTCCAATCCCTTGTGAAGTCTACATTTAGTTTGTGTGCATTTATTATTATTTATTTTTAACAAAGTTAGAATTTCCCTGTAACAATCTAAACATTGTTTATTAATAAGGACTTGCATCTCCTTAAACAACACCTTCCATGACCTGCAGATGGCGCCATACAGACAGAACTTGAAGCTGAAATGAATTCCTGGTAACTTCTCAGTCCTGTAGAACGCAATGTTAAGTGCTTGTCTATTATTTGTAATTATCTTGCCAACAATGCCGGCTCGGAGACAAATCCATGTCATTTAATATTTTTTTTAAAACGATTTTTTAAAACTTTTATTCCATTTTCTATGTTCACACTTGTCTTTACAAATAAAAGACACAGAATTGCAGTTGTCTAAAAATGCGCGACTGCAGACGATTTCCTCTGAATTCGGCGCTCCGATACAAGTGCGGCGGTGTGAGGCTGCGAGGCATTCAGCTTTCAACTCTTGCTAATCACATCCTACGCTGCGATAATGTGAATCATGAGTTCCGCGTGTTAGTCATGAGAAGGAGCTGGCTGCAAAAGTATGAGGTGAGAGAGATTTATTACTCAGCCCCAGGATTTCAGGGAGCAAAGCATCCTGGGTATGCCAAAAGCAGTATGGGGATTGGGTAAGGTGCTGCTGCCAAAATCCAGGGGGGGTTGTTGCTTGTATGGATGAACCAATGGATGTTTCCATGATGGTGATGATGAGAAAATAACCAACTTTTGGTGAATATTAGTCTCAATGTTTGCCGCACAAACTGATTAGCCGAAATTTACCTGAAACATTTATTTATTAATTATTATTGGTTTAAAAAAAAACCACACGGCTTTGATTTCTAACAAAACCATGTGATCACCTTGCCAGTACTGACATTGGTTGACACACATCGGGAGACGTCACCTTGCTACTCACACAATCCTGAAGAAGTGGCCACATTAGAGCCATGAAACTCGTTGACTATGTTAAATGTATGTACCCAGGGCCGTCCCTATATTGAGGCACACTAAAGCAGTCGCCCCAGGCGGCATCTCATTAGGGGGGCGGCAGAGGGGCGGCCACAGTGTCACAGGTTGCTAAGAGCTCTTGGCAACCT